GGGACTGGTTGAAAAGTATCAGGGCTGCGTCGACCTCCATCCTTCCAGATTTCGTGTCTGTGTTCTTCTGGCAGATGTGATGCATGTGCCAGCTGCTATATGCTTCATCTCCGGGCTTGGGTCCTAAATGGCATCCAGGGCACAAGTTGGATAAAACCACGGCATCCAAGATGAGGCCTGTATGGTACTCGATCACTGATCCAACGCCGATGTGGGACGTGTACCCTTGTTTGTGTCATGTTCCCTCGCACATCACAGTGATGCCCTTGCTTGCATCCATCTTGTAGGCTGTCTTCATAGCAGCGGCTGAATCGGCGTAAAGCTTATCCATGCACAAAGCCTCTTGCTCTCTGAAGGTCTTCTTCAGGTGCTCCTGGAATGTCTTGTGGTGGAGACCTCTGTGGGAGATATTCATGGCAGTCCAAAAAACTTTAAGAGCTGTCTGCCCCTTTCCAATCTGCTTTATAGATATTATGGATCGGATGTTGATTTTGAAGGCCATCGAGTCTTGTTGGCGTGATGAACTCCAGAAACTTGCAACAATGCCGCAAAGGGGGCATATAGTCTCAAGTTTGGTGCCCAGTCCCAGCTTGGTGCCCTCTTGTACTGTCAACCCAGTTCCCAAGCAATGATTGCACACTGTGCAGGAGAGCAGGTTGCTCAAAACGTCCATCTGAATGATGCAAAATTTCGCACCTTTGCTCGTAGCAGTGGCAGGTGTGGGATCGGGTTGCATGGCTTGAAGCTTCCTTTGGGTCGCCGGCATAGCGCCAAGTTCGGCTTGAATGGTCTCACATTGTTTTGCGGCAACTTCGATTTCTTCGCGCATCAGAAAATCTGTCACGAGATAGGCGGTGGACAATGCGCTTTTACTCGCAGTAGGTGCCAGGCGAGCGCTGGAGCCCGCAATCTTGGAAGAAACTGCTGTGGTTGATGTGCTCGGGACACCACGCATACTCGCAGCGAGGCTTCATCCTCGGTGGTGACAGCTGATGGCACGGAAGATCTATTACTGTAAGCATTGACAGCACGCTGTGCAGAAACTTTCAACTTCGCCATCCTGATCAGTTTCAAGGAGTGCTTTCGCACACCAAACGCGCGCGCCGTCTTATATTTTGTTTTACGCATTGTGTGCAGTCACAAAATGGATGGGCAGGCTACAAGAAACGGCTCAAAGTTCAGCGGGAATGATCGTAAAGAAGACGAAATGCGAAGTAGAGCTAACAATGCTTGGGGCAAGCGAGGAGAGCACTGCCATTATAGACGACGCGACCGGCAGTGACGAAAGAAAAATGAGAGGATGCGTGCTGCGGCCAATAACAGCCGTGTGCTCTTTCGCGCTCTACCCTCACAGGTAGGTTCTAATCTACCCTCGCTGGTAGATTAGACGATATACAACCCCAAAAAATGACCGCATCTCCACATGGTGAATGATGTTGATTGGGGCGAAGCTCTGGTGGTCTGGTGGTGCTGATGACACTGATTTTGTTCATAGGTAGTGCTGATGGTGCTGATTTTTTTTTATCCTCTCCGGAGCAGCTTGCTGTCTGCGTAGACGCTGAGCCACAGCATACCGAGCTTTTCGTTTGTTTTCATCCATGTCAGAAAGAGAATGTGTGGTATGGAATGTAGTTATATACGCATTTGAGGCATTTGACTGCAGCGCCCTCTCGTCTATAAACATTAAGCCAATGCATGCAAAGTTTAACGCGATTATATACAGATTTGACCGCAGCACCCTCCTGTATAGACGTTGAGCGGCTACATGCAACATTTCATTCATGACATCCCCAGCTCTTGAGTTACTACCACATCTCAGAGCCCCCTACTCGTCCCGCAGTCGTGGCCGAGTGGTTAAGGCGATGGACTAGAAATCGATTGGGGTCTCCCCACACAGGTTCGAATCCTGTCGACTGCGCAGATATTTTTTTTTTTTAAGAAGACAGATGGGATGGCATTTGATGTGAGCACGGACGCCGGACAAGGCTGGACCCTAAGGGGCTTCGCTTCTAAAATATAGTTTTCAAAAAATCAACTTTTTCGCGATTTTTCAGTTTTTAAAGCTCACGTTCCCCTTAAAGGGACCATGAAGGCAATTTAATTTTTTTTTTAAATAAGGTGTTTTCGGAAGCATTGGGGTCCTGTCATGCCACACTATTTTTTCTAGAACTTTGTGACTTATTTCTGTACCTGCAAGTAAATTTGCGAAACCGAAACAAACATTCAGACTTCTTCCCTTTTTCGCCTCTGGAAAGAGAAGTGACGTCAAGAAGCACTGTCGGCATCGGTAGGATTTAGTGCACACTCGGTGTGGTTCCCGTGGTTCGCTATAGTGCACGGCGGTCTGTGAAGAAAACCTGGAAGAAAGGGACGACAACGCCGCGCTCGCAAACGCGCTTGCTCGCAAACGAGTTTGAGCTCCCGTTCAGCAACCTCACGCCGACTGAACGGGAGATGCTGCTAAGGACGCAGAGCTCTGGATTGGCGCTTTACGAGGGCGCCCCTGACCTACCACCGACTCCTTGGTCGCCGCCTCAGAGCGACTCCCCGCCCCACTCGTCGACGCCGCCGCAATGCCGCTACGGGAGCACGGAATGGTAAGGCTGTAACAACGGGCCACATATTTCATGGTTGATGTATCGCTTGCTGACTTCCCCGGGTGTCCCCTTTGAAGAGCGTATTGTAATCGTTTTTAAGGCACATGATCATTATAGTCGTAGTCGATCGGAGCGCACGAGTACCGCTTCTATTTTGTCGCGCTGCCGCTGCTTCATAATTGGCATTCTTTACGCTGTCATGATTATCAGGCTAATCAAACAAAGTGCATGTGCCAGCCACTCCTACTTCCGTCTTGCAATGTTGATACTCCACATGGCTTGTGCGTGCCGTCACTCTGCAAAGCAAGTGGTTATTTCTACTTATTGGTAGCTGCGAAAAGATAAATTTAATTTCCCTTCCTTGCATTTATTTTGCTGAGGAGAATTGTTATTACAGCAGGAAGGCCTGGCCGGGTGAATCTGTAAATACCCACACCTAAAATTAAGAGTAAAACTATATGGTGTAGGCAGCGTTGTTGCGGCACCACAGGCCTCAGGTACAGGCTAATAGCCTTTCTGTGGTACCGCAACCCTCGTGGGTGGAATAAAGATATTATTGTTATTGAATCTATACTATTTCCATCCGTCACCAAATCACATGATAAGCCGAGAAAATTGCGAACAGCGGTAGACGCGTTAATTTACGCTATGTTTTGAATTTCCATCGTAAACCAAAAACACACACAAAAAAAAAAAGGACAAAACAATGTGTGTTGAGACTTGTTGTTTTCTCCGTTTTTTTTTATTTTTTTTATTTTGCCGTGTTTTTGGTTTTCGATGGAAGTTCTTCACCAGCTCGCCTGTGCTTTTACCCTTTCTACGTTTTGCATGGAGCCTGCCCTTTTTCGATTGCAAAAAAGACACAAGTTGCATTATTTGTGAATTGTCTATACGCCGAAAGAGTATTCGATTTCCTAAGTTCCTTCCACGGTGCATTAAATTCTTTTCAAACACCACTGCATGCTTCTTTTGGTATTATTTGCATAGCTTTTTTAAAACACCACTGCTCGCTTTTTTTTTTTTGTATTAGTTTCAATTTTATTTCAAAAGACTATAGCTCACTTCTTGTGATGTGTCTCACATGAGGTTGATGACCATTGCGATCTCAACAGTCTTGCTGTTATCTTTTAGATGCAGCTGCAACAACTGCGTTATTCTCGAGAATGGCACAGAGGGGGAGTGCATCTGCTGTCGTGAGATGGGCACGGCGCTTACGCGGGTTCAGCCAGCTGGGTGCATCACGGAGCACCCGGAGTTCAGCATGCTGTGCCTCAACATCCCTGTTCTCCGTCTCCTCTACTTCGAGCTAAGGGGTCTGGGGTATCCTATGCACGACGATATTCACAGGTAAAACAGGTGCCATGGCTGTCTTCCCATATTGTACCATCTAATCAAACTTAGGAAAGCCACGGACTTCAAGGATTATCGTTTATTCTTACGCGGGATGTAACTTAACATTTTGTCCTGCATTTTTGTTCTCGAAAGTGCCCGTTCATTCTCACCCCGAACGCTCTCACCTGCTCTTACGCCGTCGAATCGCCACCTGCTATTCTGCTATCCCGACGCTCATTCTCTATTTTGTTTACTTGCACAAGTTCGCCAATTAAACCTTTATTTTCACTTCACATTTCCCGAGCCTTTTTTCCATCCGTGACAATGTTTGGTCGGTGTAAAACATTTTTCTATGCCAAGTCAATGTGGAGACATGCAACAGATTCAATTCCCACACCATTCAGAGTAGGCTTCATGTCCTGCAATGTGTGCACTTCATAGCAAGCAAATCTCACTCGGTTGAAGATTGGCATGTGCAACACTTGCATATTGTGCTCTCTGTGAGAGGTCTGCAAGCAGGGGTCACAGTGCTGCTGACAGCTGAAAGCTTCAGTTGTTAGGGACAAGTATTCTAAGAATCAGTCATAGTGCTCAATTAAAAACAAAAATCTAGGGACATTGCAATTTGAACATTCACTTTGATTTTCTGTCTGTATAATGCGACTAAAATAACTGAAACCTTTTTCTGTTGATTTCAAGTGTGTCTTCACTACAACGGCTTCTTTTACTGCAGACGCTATCGCTACACTGCATACCGAGTCTTCGTCCGCTGGTTATGGAGACGACTTGGAAAAGGGAACCGGATGATTCTGCCGGCATGTGTAGTCTGCAGAATAACAGAGGAATTCCCTTCTGAAACCACTACCGGTTTCAAGTATCCCCGCTACTAACTTGTAAGTACCAGAACATTCGTAAATAAGCTTTGTATGAATGAATAAATTTATTGGCTGAACGAACATTGGAAAAGAGTGCTCATTGCTCCATGTAGACGATTTTCATGGCTTGGCAGAAAGCTCCACTTTTGTCCAAACCGCACTCTACATAAACACTCAGAGACATGTTCATCCTTGTCTAGCCGTCTCCCTCAAGGGACGGCTTGGCGAACTTTCTTCTGTGCGCAGATACCAGTTCTTCCTTAGATGGCCTTGGTACTGGGTTCACAAAGGCCGGAGGAACTTTTGGAGACTTTTCGGCCAGTGCCTCTTTGAAGGTAGGATACGTCTTGCACCGTTCCAGGACTTCCTCATGTAGCCGGTCCACATACTCTGAAATTCAAGACAAGGTAGTGTAGGCCAGTGCTTCTTTGAAAAGTGCTCCTGTCATTTGACCATAAGTGTTCTAAAGTCACGACACAAATTTTCAATCGTTCTGAATATTGCACTTTGTCGCACAGCCAGTGATTAGCACTTGATTTTGATAATGCTGTATTTTTTTAGAAACATTTCATGCTTTTTTGCCATCAGAAACATATAAAGTAGGCTATACTCCATTCATCCCTTCTGCTGAGACTGCGGTGAAAGCTACGTCCTCGTTGGACCAGTCATACGCCTCTTTCGCCACGTCATTATGGCCCGCCCATACCTGCGCTCAGAAAGCTGGCTCGGGTGATGAAAAGGAGGAAGGCGGTCGATTGGTTCGGCGGGCACGTAGCTCCCACTGCAGTCTCAGCTTAGGGGTGAGCGAAGTATAGTACATCCATAATTGTTGTGGTGACCTTTTCATACAGTTGAAATTGTATATGCAGTGTAAATTCTATATTGTAATGAGCTACACTTACCAAAAGTCACGGGGGTCATCCGGGGGTACACAGTGGTTGCACCTTTTTGGGCTTTTGGCGATTTGATGTGCCATTGCTCTTGCCCTTCGTTCGTGACAGCTTGCAGGCGGCTACTGTTTTCGTTAAAGTGGAATATGGCGATCATTGTTCTGGAACATAATTGAGGCTGTTTAATTGCTGCTCATGTCTTCACCTTGTGTTAAATAAAGTGTGCAATACCCTAGTTACACGGGTGCTCTCAACAGCCTTTGAGTCAACGACAGTCGACGCAATCGGCCGGAGTTACACGGCGGCGCCAACTGTCATTGAGCTGCTAATGACAGTTAAGGCAAGACACTGGTTCTAAAATCGACTTTTTTGTTTATTAATGGATTATAATGAAAATCAGTGTGTATATGTGTTTTGGCTTCCTCTTTTCAAATATCCAATTAGTTCTGCAATATCTCAATTACTTTTTGAGTTACGAAGAAAATAATGAAGCCTAATTAGGTCATTTCTTACGACTCATTAAGGAACTTTCTAATACGAATTTTTTTGCATAAGTGATATGGATTTGTAGCTAAAGACCTGTCATGCAAGATGATGCTATTTATATTTTTGTAAAGATAGATCATTGTATAAAACTAGTCTAATTAGGTCAAGTACACTATTTACAAAGCCTAACAAGGTCACATTATCACTAATAATAAAATTTCGGGCCCATACTGTCATACAAAAATAGCATCACCCTGCAGTTCACTTCTTTCTGAATTCAACGGTATAAAGTTTATAGAAATCCTTGAAGAATAATCTCATGAAAACAACCGTAAGGCTAGGCATGTAGACGAAAAATGCGAAGCTGAGAAAATTGCAGTTGAAGTTTTGACACTCATTGCATAAAATTGAGTAAGGGATCCCATGCAAAAATGTTCAGCAATATGAAGCACAGTTCTATCTGAACAAATTGAGATGAAAAATTCTGCAATCCGTTCACAAGAACCTTTTAAAAATAATATAAAACTGAGAAATAATGTCTGCAATGTAAAATAAAGTTATAAAAGAATGAGTAGACTCTATAAGGGACAACGGGAGGAGGCACCAAGGGTTGCACGTTCCGAAAGCAGATTTTGTTTGGCCCTGAAAAGGGCCTTTCTACGTGTAGCACTTGAAAGGGGAGCCCCTTCACAGCTGTCCAGGACTGTAGTCCCCAGCTGTTCCAGTTTGGTGTTGCCTGGAGAACCTCTGCTTTGCATTGCTGCTGCTCTGGTGGGCAGCGTTGGCCTTACGCAAACGCAGATTGTCCTTCTCCATGCTTTGAGAGCTTTCATGTCCACTACAATGAACTGTGTCCCAGCGTCGCGCGTCTGGCCTCCTGTGGTGACGCCGAGGTCGAATTTGCGCTGGGTCGCCGACTTTTCCGATAGCGCACGCTTGCATTCGTCCGATCGTGCGACTCGTTGCGCCTGCTCGGCCGTGGAGTAGTATGCGGTGTCGACACGAACCGCGCTCGCAAAGCTCGACAAACTGCCGCTGCTGCATGGAGTCGCGATGTCTCCGGCTGATGTTTCCGGAAGATCCAAGGCATCCAGCGGTGCCGATCGCGGTGGCGCACTTGCAGCAGACAGCTTCGGCTTCTTGTTTGTTCCACGGTCGCTTCCTCTTCCTTCCGAACGCTTGCCGCGTGCTCGATTTCAACCGAGCGTCGTCCGGCATCTCGAGAACTCGAAGCGAAACAAAACAAAACACGCGCGACTTCGTAGGAAAACGAACTAACAATATTCAACGCAAGCGCGCAAACGGGAACTAAAACGTGCGCTCTACCACGGAGGAAACAAAGCAGACAGGCCTGAGGAGACGGGCGGAGACGGGCCCAGGAGCAGACGACGCACCTCTCGCCAGCGCGGGAACGGAAAGGAGGAAAGGAGAAAAAGAGCGGAGGAGCACGTTTAGGCCAATAGCAGGGGCGCTAGGCGCCGCGCGTGCTCTGACGTACGGGCACCTTGCTAGCCGGCCAATGAGCGATCGCAATTGGGGCCTTTGAAACACGCGGAATGCGGACGTTCCCCGATGTTGTCGCGATAACGAATGGCATGGGGACGTGGGGAAAATAAGCGGCTTTCCAACAAGACCAAGATGGCCGCGATCCGACGAGCGATCGCGAAACGCGCGGGGCACGAAGTTCCACTTGTTTTCATTGAACTCGCTGTGTTAGGGCTCTGCGGGGACATTGTAAATATCATTTTTTTCATGCTTAGACATTGAATTCGACATTGAAACTTTGCAGGCAGGTACCTTAGACTACAATTAATCCAAATATGTGAATTTTGAAAAACGTAAAATTTTGCGTTTATTGACCATTTTAAGACCCGTGTCTCCCCTTAAGTTCAACTTGGCTCCCCTACCTTAGTTTGACTGAACGGACTTCCCCAACAAAGTTAAAATGGTGCTTGTCCGCGGGACTGCTGCCGCCGACCATTGTTTGCGAGGCACTTACTGTTTCGGAATACAGGAGAATGCGTCTAGAAAGAATCTTAGCAGCAAAATATCCAGGAGGGAATAGGTTTAGGTGTCAAAGCTGCCGCTAAAACAATCCCGACAAGCCGGAAAGCCACCAAACGAGCGCAGATGGAGGAGGGACCAGCTGTATTAGTGGACAAATAGTAATGGGTGCACCCATCGTAGTGGGCGATAGCTTACACCACCTAGCGTAAAATATGTGAAACCTAGCCCTGAATCTGTTTTGGTACTCGTGTAAACTCCGCTAAAAAGCAACGATGTATTGAACATAATGTATGATATACTTATAATAAATAAAAGGTGTGTCTCCGAGTAAATTACTTCAACAGTTAGACTGATCACGTAACACAAGGACTAGTTTCGTTTTAGCTTCAACTGGATTCTAGAGGGCCGTGTTGCACCATCTCAGTTCAGTTTAGTTCAATCATAGTTTAGGCCGATAACTGTGATTGAACTCAACGACAGTTCAAATCGCCCATGTAACTAGGGTGTAAGAAAATCTCTTTGCGAGTCTGTCTAAAAGTTTTTTCTGGTCTCAAAGAAACTTCAACTGCGAGTGCTGTTGTTTTGGCTTGGTACAGTCCCCTCCTTACACATAGCTTCCTTACCGTGCAGCCATGCCTTCATACGAGAATGCTGTCGATTTGGGTGCAAATCCATTATTCAGCACGTTGTGGAATGATTCCAATCCATAGGTTTGTGCATTAGGAGACAGCTGCTTCACATCTTTTGCAAACAAAGGTGCATTTGCGATGGCCTTCAGTTTCGTGTGAACGGGTGAACCTGGGGAAATTGGAGCATTCAGTAATACAGTGTAGATTAGAGTTCATTGAAACATTTTTTAGCAAACCACAGTAAAAAACATAACAGTTTTAATTGGTTTTTGGGGGGCTATCGATTAGATTCACATAGACGTCCATGGCTGTGTAGAGCTAATATAATTTTACAAATATCTGTTAACTCGTCTTTCTTTGGACGCTTTCCTTTAAAATTAGTGTTCGGCCTATAATCGTAACCAAACAATGTAGATGTGTGCAAAAGTAACTTTTCCAAGTCCATGGAGCCAACCCAGATGCTCCCCATATCAGCCGCTTCTCCAAGCTAAAAGTGAAAGCATTGTAGCTTGACTACGGCACAGAAAAACTTTAAGTCAGCAGCGAGGCACGAGTGCTACTGCATGCTTGAGTCAACAGTAATCATATGGTCTTATCAGGCTGCGTTTCATCACAACAGCAGCAGTCCAAGCAATAGACACTTTGCGTATCTGTGAAGTTTATTTTCAATGTTCCCCATGTAAAATAACTAAGTTTGATTCCACACTAGTCGGCATCTTGTATATAACTAATATTTTTTTAGCTCTTACGATGTAAATCTAGCATAATAATATGGTACAAACCAGGCACAATCCACTGTTTGTCTCCAACGTCCTTGTTTAGGCACCGTGGGTAGAGCGGACTATGGCCCGTGTGGATATTGCAGACATGGTTCTTGACACTCGACCATGCTGCGGCCAGCAATTCACCTTTGCCACCGCTAGCAGTTGCGCACCACCACAAGTGGTTGCACACGGGGCTCACCCAGGGTGCTAGGTCCTTGCAACCTGCACATTTGCTGCCTGCAGCCAACTTCTTCCTGATCCCTGCAGTGATATAAGTTCCAGGACAAAAATGTTTGCTTGATGTTAACACCCCACCTCTGAATGCCCTACTTTGCATGCAGTGCAAGCAAGCTCTACCCAGAGAGAATTCCCAGAGAGAATTGCTACAGCAATAGTCGCATGCCATGAGGGGAATAGAGAAGATCTAGCCTCACACTCCAGCTAGTCGCAGGATAATAGACCTTTTCCGAAGTTCAGTGCCATCTGGTGGCTGAAATGGCGGTTTAACTTTTGCCATACAAATGGCGGCAATAAACTTGTAGGCTGCAGTATTTTAACGGGCACAGTCACTTTTGCATGTCAACGGCAGACGAGAATAAACTTTTCGCTATACAGGTTTTTCTGGATCATCTCTTCCAGTGTCGATTCCCACAATGATGCAACCAGTCAGAACGAAGCGCCAACCCAGACAGAGACCTTGATAAAGTTCTATAAGTCAAGGGGTTTCGAAGTCGATTTTGTGCCACTAACAGGTTCACTGGGCTTGAATTAGAGAAATGAACACTTACGCAGCGCTTGCATTCAATTCCGGTTTCGCAACGTGCTAACGTCTGGAATGTATAGGCCTCGAATCCTCAGCTTAGGAGTATCTTCAACATGTTCCTTCATCAGTAAATAGAAAGCTGCCATTGGTATGGCACATATGCCATTTTTCAGATGGTGATGATAGTGATCAAAGTGGCCAGACTGAATTTCGGAAAGGGTCTATTGTTGTCAGAGGCTGTTGAATGGCCAGTTTTATTCGCTTCTCTGTAAAGTGTTTTTTTATGAGGTGTGCCGGTATTTCATCCTTCCTCTGCTCACTTGGAGAGACCAAATAGAACAGTTGGTAATGGAGATTGCTTTTAAACAATTTGTAATAAGCACAACAGCGATATCTCAGATGGTTCTAGGGTACGAAATAGAACACGCAAAAGACAGAGCTGCAGGTTGGTCTTTGTTATATTGAAAGACAATGTTCGCATTCACCTTTCACAGCGTGCCACACGTCAAACAGATGCAGGATTGCGGGCTGGTGTATTCTCATGTAGGCCTTTATGCTCGAGTGCCTGTCAGTCGTGAACGAGCAAATCAGGACGTTCTTCGATTTCAAGAAAGAAATTCCTCGTGCGCAGCCTTCCTTTCCCATGTTGCTGCTTGCACTTACTTCGGGACACCAAAAAGAAGGAATTACTTTATGGAAGGGGTCTAAAATATTGCACACTTTGTATCTTTGTCTTGTTCCTGTGTTTTTTGAGCCAATTGTTTTTCCTATTGTTGTGAGGGTTCTTACTTCCTTGACTTGAACCAGTTCGGTGTGGACAATCTTGCCCAATCGATGCGAGTAGAAACTGTATGTCATGTACTTCGCACCGTGTCCCGAAGAGTCAGATCGTCCATCTCCTGACAGATCCACGGGCTTTCCCGCAAGGGCTGTCAAATCCTCGTCTCGTTGCCTATCCCAAACCTGGAAATATTAAAGAAAGGGTGTGGCAGCTGTAACAGTGCAGTTAAAGGAAAATGAGACAACACAAAAGTGCATCAGCAGTTTTGTATGATAAAAAGCATAAATGTGATACATGCTACTGATCTCTGCATCTGGGACGAGGACAAGAGTCGCCAAAAGGAAGTGCCCAATGCGTCTTTCATGAGAGAACATGTCCTATCACTCATAGTAGGGTATGCTGCCATAGCATTATGCCGGCACACTGCAGAAAGAATTGCTGCAGAGTAAGTTACACTATGCTTGAATCAGATGAGGGATCTACGAACCGTTTGCACAGCAGGGAGGAGGTAAGCTTGTTGATAATCGTGGAATCTTCGTTCCGAGATGACCCTAATATTCATGAGGCGCATCATTCTGAGAGCTGGTGCAGGGCTAGAGCCGGAAAACAGCAGGACAGATGCGATATCGATATTTCCAACCGGTTTCAGTCCCACGTATGGTTGGCTGGACCAGGTGTGCGAGGGGTTCTTAGGGCAGAGGGTTGTCACAGTGAGGCAGCTTCCACTCAGATGGAGGGATGGCTTGGACGGTGCATAGCATGTCATGCAGAGCCTGAAGCACTCTAGCAGGCAACTTTCATACACAATGTACTTGTTTTCACCCCGAGGATGGCCTTGTTCGGTTTCTTCGTCATCCCTGCAAAAGTAAGCAAAACAAATTTAGGAGAACGACCCCAACCCTGAAAAAGTTACGTACAACAGGCTGTCTTTAGGTTGCCCAGTTTTCAGTTTAAACATGCTTTCTTAACATACCGTGGTGCATGTGTTCTGATAACAGACAAGTCGAAAACCACTAAGTGCGGCATGCTGGCCCAAAGGTGGGGCAAACAAATAAGCTATTGAGTCATTTCTATTTCGTTAGTCACTACAAATCCTTTGCAAACTAACGAGCAGGTGAGTGGCATTTGGCAACTTCCAGTTTCTTAAAAAGTTCTGTTTTGCTGTTGACAAATGACGACGATCTGCAAGCCTGTCTAAGCAAAGTTCTGAAAACTGCAATCTGGAGGTTTTAGAACCATGCTTGCACAGGCTTGCGGTTCATTGTTGTCGTTTTTCAACGGTGAAACTAAATTTCCAAGTAACAGGAAGTTGAAAACGCCGCTCACCTATCGCTGAAGCCTGTATACACAAACTCATTTATGTTACGTCACGGCATGGTGGTGGCACATTGGGCGCACTTCGGGTCTGGGGCTGTGGGCGGAAGTCCCCATGTGAGACGTGTATTCCTACATTGTTTTGTAAGGGACCAGACAAAAACCTGCTTTCTCGTCGAAACGCCGCGACTGGGGCTGTACCAGAAGAGTCAAGGAAGGTGTGGTCAGTTTTCATGTGCTGAATTCATTGGAAAACGTGGATATGTGGCGTGAAAAGAGAAAAGCAGACGCCGTCGGATCATGATTGCTTCGGCGGGAAGCGCCTTACGTTGAATTCATGGATACTTGTGGTCCTCAGATTTATTAGTTTTGTTCCAACATGAATGCCGGAAATCCTCATCGCATATCACCTAGCATTGACCAGCATGCAAAAGTGGGCCTTTCTTTCACTCGAAATACAGCATTCCTTAAATCTTTTTTCCCGGCGAAATCTGTGGACTGGAACGGCCTGCCCGAAGCCATCGTCTTTGCTCAAGACATTGATTCGTTCCGCCAAATGTTAACCTTGCTATTTTTTTTAACTCACTCCCTTATGTAATACCCTGACTCAGGGTTCTTAAGGTATTTAAATAAATAAATAAATAAAAATGGTCAAGTTGTACGGACCACCTGTGGACTACATTCAGTGCGTCAAGTTCAAACGGCCGCCTGATCGTTCGAACTGTCGCCTGCTCTTTCAAACACTTCTGCTTGTCGTCTGCTCTTTTAGACAACACCGGTCTGTAGACCAAATGTTGGCTTGGTACTTGCAATAAGAAGCAAGTGCAGGCCTCAAAAGACTTCGGTTTGAAGGTTGGTAGGCAGGCTTGATGTAAACAGTAGATACAAGGAGATGCTGATCATTGTTGCCAGTGGCCATCACCAACTTGTTAGGCCTGATTCACTTCGTCCGATTCTGCTTGCGATTTTCAGTACCGACATCGACCATCTCGGCTTTGGTTCACGCTTTTGCAGCCCGAGCGACGTTGCGACTGAAAATTGCAAGCGAAATCTCCCCATGCGAAACAGGCTTTAGCGTACATTCTACGGCATCCACGTTATTCACGCGAAGTTTTGCAATGTAACAAGCCTCATTAATTTCGCTGAGGTTGCTCAAGTATCGTAGTCACATTTCCAGGAAGACATAGAATCAACGATTTGAATGCAAAAAAGGCCAGGGGGACTCACACTGACTTTGACAACATCGCATTACAATGGTTTGGTTTTGGGCGACGGCGAGCTTTTTGCCCACACCCATCGTGCGTGCGCGGCTTCGGTGGCGTCCGCTAGGGGCGCTCTGGTTTGTTTGTAAACTTGAGTTGGTGTATACTCACATCTGAAAACTGTTGTCATATGACGGTTCATGGGTTGAGTCGTAGGTCGGATCATAGGTGGGGTCGTCATTTTGACACATGCTTGGTGGCTCCGAACTAGGTGGGCTGGTTGGGGAAGCTGGACAGTCACCACAGTCGCCAAATCTGTCGTTGTTTTCACACATGCCTGCAGGCTCCGAGCTGGCAGGTGGTGCTGGACCTTTGAGAGGTTCAATACAATTCAATTTTATTGACCGAAAAAGGTATACAAAATATTGGGAAAAGCATATGAACCCATAGCCGCTGGGCTAGTTCAGGCTCATTAACAAAGTATCACAAGAGCACAGAGCGACAGGCATATGTCATTAGAAAGCAACAAAAGTACTCCCAATCTTGTTACTATATTAGAAGCTAATCTCGGTTACCAATACCTAAGAAACGATAATGAGGATGAAAGATGATCTAGGTAGACAAGAGGAGATTGTGCCTCAGTGCATTGTTAAAAGTATGCGAATTTCGAAGGTCGTTCAATAGGGTCTTCCAGATTTTTGTCCCACAGAATTGAATTAGCCTTTCCCCCTAAACGTTGCAGCATTGTGGAAGGTTAAAGTGTCCAGACAAATTTGCCCTAGTTTGATGGAAACCTTTAAGAACTATAGTTATAGGAAATGGGTGGTTTGTGGTCAACATTTTGTGAAACGGTGGCAATTTTATACTTTACTAGTTTATGCAGTGGAAGAATGCTGAGGTGATCAAAGGAAATGCTCGATGCCTGTGTATAGTGCGAGTCAGTTATAATCCAAACTGCCTTTTTTGTAAACCAATAATGGGCGTGAGATACATGTTATAGGTTGTACCCCATGTTTCTGTACAGTATGTTAAATGGGAGTGGAATATCGAGAAGTAAATAATTTTCAAGGTTGAAGAGTCTAAGCACTGTCGAGACTTCAGCAGAATGCAGCAAGCATATGATAGCTTTTGACAAGTATAGGCTATCTGATGTTGCCAATGTAAGTGTAAGTCGAATATTACTCTCAGATATTTGAATGTATATACTTGTTCTATAAGAGAGGTGGCAATATAAATTTTGCAGTTAGCATAGTTTATTTGTTCTTTTGGTGAAATATAACATACTTCATTTTTTTTATTCAGCATCAACTTATTATAACTGCACTAGTCCTAGACAATAATTAGTTCTTCATTGATTATACTATTAATGTTATCCAACGAATTATTTGTGTAGTAAATTGCTGTATCATCTGCATAAATGCGAGAGATCATTGACATATAATGAAAAAGGACAGGACCCAGCACCGATCCCTGTGGAATCCCTGTTTTGATGGGCCTAATATTGCGTTTATACCGTTTGTGTTTATACCATTAAGAACTGATATTGGCCTATAATTTTTAGGTTCGTTAGCATCATCATTCCCACCTTCACATTCGGCATGTATGGAGCTCAGAAACTCTGATGGCAGTGGCACTTGTTCGGAGATTGCGGATGAGGTTCCATGTAGCCTGTCTAAAAGATCCCAAGCGTCGCCTGTGGCAGATATGTCTGTCTGCACCGCATGGTCCTGTCGTATAGCCGTGTTCACTTGGACGTCTGAAAAAGATGTTGGGCATTTCAGCTCTTTATTGCTGGAATGCATATAAAACACTGTCAATTCACAATGAAAAGAGCACGTACATGCCGACCGAGTTTGAGGACGCGTCTGTGTAGAAACTGAGCGACACTTGGTTCGAACTTGTATGGCCAGAGTCCTTGTCACCTTTCGTGGCATCTATAAAAGAAGTCAGCAGTAATTAGATGATTTGCCAAACTATTCGCAAAATCTTTCTTCACCATTTTGTAGGTTGTAAATCTGCAACACCACTGACTTCACGTTTCGATTCACAAAACCTTTTCCTTTCACTGCTTTTTGTGCAGTGTTCTACGAGTTTCTATCACCAAAAGCAAAATAAATTCCTTGAGAACCAGACAAGGCACATAGAGCTTCTTTCCCTTGTTCCATTTTAACAGTTTTTTTTTTTTTTTAATTCGCTATGTGCAGTGCAGATGACCTCAGTGACCAGGCCATGACTACCTAATTTCCAGGAGATTTGAATTTCCTACCATTGTCTGATTTTAAAGTTCTAAGTGATTTCTGAAAATGTTCAATAAGGAAATAAATGGTGGCTATTGGTGACCATGGATGTTCGCTGTTGGAAAAACCATGTATACCATTACTGCTCAGTGCTCTTCTTTGACACACTGCAATTAGGATGGCATGTAGGGGGCACAATGCAAGAACTCCACAATTAGCACTACCTTAGTGTAGTGTACGGACATACCATATGTTTATATATGTGCATAGCAAACTGCCAAGAAAGAAGTAATTGCAACACAAATGTCATGTCACGCTAACGCAAGACGAAAGTTACAATTATGTTGCGAGATGAAGTCCTGGGCTCTACCCGACGCGACTGGTCAGGGTGGATGCATTGCATTTTCTGTTTGTCAAACTCTGGGGTCGGAATCCTAAATTCCTGGGATATGTATCACTAACCATGGTTGTGCTGCTTTGGTGGATGGCTGTGCTTTGGCTGGTGCAGCTACCATTGCTTGTGTCCTGAAGGGCAGTCAATTTACAGCACAAATGTCATGTCATGATAACACAAGACGAAAGTTGCAATATTGTTGCAAGGTGAAGTTCTTGGCTCCATCGGACACAACTGGTCAGGGTGGATGGATTACGTTTTCTGTTCGTCAAACTCTGGGGTCGGAATCCTAAATGCCTAGAATATGTATCACTAACCATAGCTGTGCTGCTTTGGTTGATGGGTGGGCTTTCGCTCGTGCAGCTTCCATTGCTTGTGTCCTGGAGGGCAGTCAAATTACAGCACAAATGCCATGTCATGATAACGCAAGACGAAAGTTACAATAATGTTACGAGGTGAAGTCCTGGGCTTCATCCAACGCCACTGGCCAGGGGGGATACATTGCATTTTCTGTTCATCAAACTCGGGGGCTGGAGTTATGAATGCTTTGAATATGTATTGCTAACCATGGTTGTGCTGGTTTGGTGGATGGCTTTGCTCTGGCTCGTGCAGCTTCCATTGCTTGTGTCCTGGAGGGCAGTCAATTTACAGCACAAATGTCATGTCATGCCAACGCAAGACGAAAGTTACAATAATGTTACGAGGTGAAGTACTGGGCTCCTCCACCCGACGCAACTGCCCAGGGTGGTTGCATGGCATTTCTACTCATCAAACTCTGGGGTAGGAATCGGGAATGCCTGGAATACAGACAAACCCGTTTATAACGAACAGCAGGAAACGCTACGTTCAGTTCGATATAGCAAAAACATTTACAATGAACTTCCATGATGCGTTCGCTGCAAGGTGAGGGCTCTTTTTTTCTCATTTATTCACTTATGCCTCGTAACAATCCCCTGAAAATCTTTCTTTTTTTTGCGTGCATGCAAAGTGTGTTCTTTCAGCTTACCTCCCCTTTTGAATCGCTTCTCTTCGTAAGCAAACACCTTGGGATGAAAAGTTTTTTTTTTGTCTGTGCGTGCGTGCGTGCAGAGTATTTTTTAAGCTTTCTCTTCTTCTGCATCGCTTCTCTTCGCAACTTGAGCTTTTGGAATTTTCTTTCTTTTCTACTTCTTTTTTGGGGGGAAGGGGCAGGCTGGAAGGCGATTGTTTGCACGTTTCTAGAAGCCTTCCAGGGGGAAAAGTTTGATATAGCCAGTATGTTGTTCGTTATAAAAAGTAATTTTTACGTGCATTTTTATATAAATTTTTCGTGAGTTGATATCAACAATAGGTCTGTTCGATTCGCCTGAACTGGCTGATGTAGTTCAGCAGTGCAGGAACTGGTGCATTCGATTCAACCAGAAGTTGGACGGCCGCTGCACTGGCGCGTTCTATTCATCCCAGTTCTGAACTAGTTCAGACCCAGTTTCTCGAAATCTTGCACCGGCTCTTGCACGACTGCGGCAAAATCTTGCCGCAGTCGTGTAAATAACTCCTTCAAGTTCTCTTCCGGGTGCTGTGTACATAGTCGCAGCTCATCCTTGAGGCAACACTTCGCGTCGATGGAGGCGAACGCCATGCGGACGTGAAGTTATCCCAGCTGGCGAAGTCGCCCATGAAGCGTCACCACAATTTCGCACTGCCCTCCAGTGCGGCTGGCACGACCTGGCTTAGTCGTTTGTCGGCGGTGACACCTGTCACCAAACAAAAGTCCTCGAGCCGCTCCAGAAATTCCTCGGGCGACTGAAGAACTCTGAAGTCCGAGAAGTTGGGCAGCTGGGCCGCAATCTGGGCACAGGGCCGCCGGAGGGATGGACTGTGGCCACAGTCGCCACTGGCCCTTCGGCGCCGGCGAGCATCGAAGCCACCATTACGATTTGTCGCAATTGTGCTGCAACGTTCTCACGTTGCAGTGCCGATCCGTCGGTCTGTCGGAGGAGCTGCTGAACTAACCCCTCTGGCACCCTGAAAGAGTTTATGGTGCAATCCCGGACGAGCCCCCACTTGTCACGCTTGGTTCGGCAGAGCGGGCACTTTCACAAACGTCTCACGTGAGCTTGCAACACTCCTTTATTCCCTCCGCGCCGTTTCCCACTGCCTCCCGTCTCTCGCTGCTTCCTGCGACCCCCGGGAGTGGGGACAAGCATTGTCTCTAAGAATCCCCCCTAGGGAAGGAGTGTCCCCGCACGGTTTCGGTTGTTGCCGGCGCCACACACTCCTCACACTCCTTAAATGTGAAATGTTCATTTGGTACCCGTGGCCTGCTCGCCGCTGTTCTTGCCCAAGGTCGCCTTCTTTTGGGCCGAGCTCACAACCCAAGCAAAAGTTCGAGAGCATGACAAAATTGAGCTCATAACCTGTGAAAAGGAAATTGCTATATTTTCAGGATTTCCGAATTTCGAATCGGAGTAAAATGCTTTCACCGCTTTCACGCACTCGCCGATGCGACAGCCCTCCGAGCGGCAGGGTTGAGCTTGTTTTTAACATACTTCTTGTACGTCTTCGTGTGCATGCCTCGCTTAGAAATGTTCAAAGCAGCGCACAAGTTATTGAGTATAGTCTGTTTGTTCCCCGTACTGAGAACAGCACGAGTCGCAAGCATGTTCACCTCGAATGGATTGCACCTCGCATCCCCGTCTACTCTTGGCGAACTCCAAGTGGTTTCCACTTCTCTGCATGCATCGTAATTCAGGATCAGTTTCACTGCAATGCCATATTGTCGATCTCCTTTCGAGAAGTTCACCGAGCTGCTGCAAAGCTTGCATTTGACACACCGAAGCAGCTTGTTCAAAGCAGAAAGGCTTAGCCTGGTGAATGATGTTCTTGTTGCCATCGCTTTAGCGTCTTCTGTTTTCTCTCACAAAAGAGACTGCTTCCGTCGAGTGGTGGACATTTGAGAAAGATGTGGAGCCACTGATGAAGCATTGGGTTTGCCACCGCAGAGTAAGGGGACCGGGGAACCAAGTTGAGGTCGGACAGGTACGGAGCATAGGAGAATTCTTCGTCCATTTCATCCGCTGGGTTCATCAATGCTTCCGCTTCGTCTGCCACCCCCTCCAGAAACATCCACCTGAAGAGCTCTGCCACATTCAACCCAGTTAGAGACAAAATCTGCCCCAATGAAGTAAAAACTGAACAGTCTTTGTACCTGGATGGCATGGTCCCGGCACGGACTGAGGCATACTTGTTGGCTGGAAATCGGCACAGGAACAATTTTTTTTTTTTTTTTCTTTTGGTCATCACAGTCCCCGTCAGCTTGACGTCCTGCGAAAGCAACTCCTCGGCGAGTGTTGGCGACGTATAAAACCTATCTGTGTACAGGTGGTACCCCTTTCCAGGCGAAGCGCACTGCACTTTGTCGAGAAGGTGAAGGACGATTCGACAAGTGAAAGGAAGGTCTGGCCGAGGGAGGCTCTCCGTAGTAGTGCTGCCGTAGTATGGCCCGAATGCAGAAACATACCCAGATGCGCAGTCTGCGAGTACATACACCCGAAGGCCCCACTTTGTCGGCTTCTGTGGGTTGTAGCACTTGAAGGAGACTCGCCCCTTGAAGCCCACGGTGCTCTCATCTACGCAAATCTTTGGACCGGGCTTGATATGCTCTCTGCACTTTGAATCAATGTAGCTGACAACGTTTCTCACCTTGCTGCCACGTGTCGGCTGTCCTGATGGGCCTTGCGGAGGAGGAGAAACGTGCAGCATCCAGAAAATTTGCAGAAATCTTGTTCGAGTGAACACCAGTCGAAAAAAAGGCATCTTCTTCAGAATTTCTTCGCTGAAGTACTCTTTGATGTCTGGCTTGGGATTCAGTGCCATGTTCATAAGGACTCCGAGAAATGCTTTGAACTCATCGACAGTGACGTCCTCCCAGCTTTTCCAAATGGAATGTTTTGCAAGAGGTTCCGCAGACGAAATCTTCTCGCACGCATACCGGTTTGTTTCGTGAACGATTTCTCCAATCAGTTGATCCGTAAAAAATAATTGAAAAAACTGGAGTTCAGATTGAAGATTTGAGGGCCCAATTTGTGATTTGGGATTACTCACACTGAAGGTAAGCACAGGAAAGTCCGGGAGATTGTTCGTGTACAAACTCAAGGACGATGCTTGTGGCTGAGCGGCTCCGCGGTTGTCTTGAGCAGTCGTTTCATCTTCATCTCTACTTTCGCTCAAATCAGCAGAGGACGTCTTTTTATCATCTGACGGAGGGATATAGTTGTTTTCTTCACTGAAATTGTCATCACTTTCAACTACATCACGCGAAGAGTTACCATAAAATGAGCGTGGCTGGAACGTGGCCATCCCTCGTGGCAGCAAAGTTGAAATTCGCACGCTCCTCCATTGTTTAGACTGTTTAGAATTAGTTCTGCCCTCTATGAGAAAAAACTCAAACCCTTTCAAAAGTGAAGTGTATAAACGTTCCAAGAGATGGCACCACCAATCCAGCAAAAAAGAGCGAAGGAGCACGTTTTAAAGAGCGCGGGAACGCGTGTCGGGCGACGCCCGACACCGGACCGGAAGCGCGTTTCTTCGATGTCGGGCCACCCGGCACATGACCGCAAAGGGTTAAAACAAATCTCTCTTGCGCAAATTCTAAATTTGTTTTGATCATTCTGATAAGCCAACCAGTGACCAAGTACAGCAAGTCATACTGCATGCATAATGCACACATGACAAATTCTATGCTTCTTAGCTTTATCAGAATGATAAAGATAACTTTACAAGTCTCTAGGCTTTGCTGCAACTATCGTTGAACACAGAATATTGAAGCAAATGAGTGTTTCATAGGTATGCCTGTCAAGTTCTAGAAACATAAAAATTCGGCCATTGATATAGCTCTTCATACAGATTCCAAATATGTATTTAGTTTTCATCTAGTTACTATAGTTATTGAGTTATGTGCATACATAATGCAAAAAGCAGCACTTTTCCTGGGACCTTTTTGATGTACTAAATTTACAAGAAAAGTATCACGCTGTATCTTATTTGACTCTTCGGAAATTGCTAAGTGCTGATATCTAGGCACACTTTGAACAAAAATACTAGAACTATACAAAAAAACTTTGTGCTCTGTAACTAAATATTTTCAGTCTCCCTTGAAACAATAAATGAGAAGTTTCATAACTAATGCTGGTAGAAAATTCAATTTTAAGTAGATATCAGCACTCCACATGTCTTAAAGAACATGTGTACCAAATTTCGTTACTATAGGTTAACTCTTAAGTTCACAAAAGGCTGCCCGGAAAACATGAAATTTTCAAAAACAAGAAAGTGAGAAAAACAAGTTTGAAAGCTTGTGAAGTTTGTATTCATTGAAATGCCACTCTATTTACATAAAATTTGGCCACAATGGCAAAATGCACTGAAGGTTTTTAAAACCCTCCAGCAGAATAACTTTGTCTTCCCTGGCTCTCGCAGTTTGTCTCCTTAATGTGAGCCCTCTTCACTGTACTACAACGGTGTGCCCCAATTGCTTCCACTGTTTGCTTGGTGTTCATTCTCTTGATGCGCATTTGATCACACTGGTCACCATGCATGGCCAAATCTTCTGAAGGAAGTATTCCGATCTCTTCCAGCACTCTTTCAAAGCCTGTATGGCCTTTGTTGTACCAAAGCACAGCAATCGCCGTGGCCATCTCCACAGTAGCCCTGGAGGTGAACTTGGTTTTCAGGCACAACAGCCCTATTTTACTATTGAGTGACTTGGCCGCATTTTGTGTCTCTCCGTAAAAGCATTGAGAAAGTGCTTCTCGTCAATGAGGCACTTATGTATGGGCAGAATTGCCATTCCCTGGGCTTTTGTCAACAGCGGGGTGTGGTGTGGTGCAGGCTCCCCAGTGCTTCCGCACGCTTGCGCTTCCACCACGAGTTCGGTCCTGCAGGGCAAAAGTTGTGACTGCTGGCACCATCACTGGAACAGCTATGAAGATATGTGTACATGCTTCGGACAGTGTACATGCTTCGGACACTGCCTTTGTTGCTTGTGTTGGCCATCTTATAGTACATCTGTGGTTTCTGTATAGTTGAATCCTTGGTTTTTCACCGCATGGCAGTGGTGTTGCCAATTTCCACAGGGCAGTTCCGAGGCGCTTCGAAACATGGTTCGTGCATTCCTCTTTTTTAATCGCAGTCACCATATACTTTTGCCTCACACACTGCCATATTTGCACTGCTGCAGCGGGTTCCATTGTGTGGGATGAGTAGTCCGTGTTTTTTTCGCAAACTGGACGATGAAAGGCTTGCCACGCTTCTTCATCGTCGCCGATGTCCTTGAGGATACTGCGAGCAAGGCAATAATTCGAAAGAATTTGGAAGTCGAGGCAGAGCCCAGTGTCCAGGGACACAACTGTGCTTACTCCATTGTGACTTTTATGGCGCCTGTTTTGCCTGGTGCCATCAAACATGACTGGCACATCTCTGCCGCCGGCTGCGTCCTTCGTGATATTTCAAGCCAGCTCCAAGTTTTGGCTCACTGCTCTCATCACTGCACCATGGCGCTTATTAGAAATGGTGTTGAATGTTTTATGGTGCATTGGACTTGGAAGTCCGAGAATTGTACGAAATCGCGAAAGTTGGTCGTGTCCTGCACCTACAGTTCGGGCTGCCACAACTTGTTTCAGGTTCACCGCGATGCTGTCGCGTGAGCTTCTGCTGTCATGACAAACACTCGCCCCGGGGTCACTGGCCGACGTAATCCGCCTCGATGTGTGCGTGGACAAAAGCATAGACTCGGGGCAATCGTCATTTTCAAAAAGTAGTTCAAGGAATGCTAAAAGTCCTTCGCGCTTTTGAGCTGTGTCAAGAATCGCCAAGGTTTTTTTTTGTTTTTTTTTTTTCTTTTGTTATGTTGTTTTTGTTACATTTCTTCTGTGTGGGTGGTACGTCGGGGCATGCTGGGTATCCCGAAAAGAAGCGACCGGGGTCTGGCTCGTTATCTCCACTCCACCTTGTGTATGCGGCATACCAAGTGTGGGTTGCTACCTAATCGACGCCCGATCGGGACGTGCCTCGCTCGCTCCCCAAGAAGTCACTCGCACAGTGTGCGTGTTTTAGAACAGCTTACTTGAACTCGCACGTCGCTGGTGAGCGTCTTGTCCTCGTTGTCGTCGTCGTACCCACTTTCCGGTCTGCAGGTTAAAAAGCGACCCCCCTTGTCCTGCTTCCCCTTTTATATCCTCGCCCCCCACCGATCACATGCTCACCACGATCCGTCCACGTGCAGACCCACGCCCTTGCCATAGTCCCCGTACGATCCCTGAGCGGGGATAACGCGCTGTATGGTGACGCTCCCCCATCCAAGGATCCGGGTGAGCAGGAAATGGGCTGTTCGGCCCTGGCAGGGCGCGGGAAGAACGGACGAAGGGGTGAGGGAAATGCAAGAAAGACATGACTCCAGAGTGGGGTGGCCGGACGGATCTCCACACCTCGTCGCCTTCAAGGCTCGGACTCCGGGGTGACTGAGTCGGCGAAGGGCGGAAGGTCCCCGGCCAGGAACTCCTCTAACTCCACCATAACAGTGTCCTTGGCGGGCGGAAGTGACAGCGGGGCTGCGAGGGGCTCGGCCAAGCAGGGGAGTGGCACCAGTGGGGGCGGCAGCGGGTCCGAGACCGCGGTGGTCGCGGCGGTGGAGGCAGCGGCAACGGCTACGGAGATGGCCCCCTCCTCAGGAAGCTCCCGGGCCGCCGAGGCTGGGAGGTCGGGCCGGTTCCTCCGGAGTGGCTGCAGCGCCGCCTTGACGCACGTAGGGGGGCCCACCGCCCTGGGCAGCTCCTGGTGACGTGGGCTGGCCTCGTGTGACTCCCAGTGTACCACCGGTACCTGGCACAGCCAGCAAGAGTCCTGCAGGTCTGGGGCGAGTTGGAATGAAGGCAGCGTGTGCCCCAGGAAGGGCGGCGGGACCTCGACACCGGGCGTGTCGTGGACCGGTCTCAGCTAGTCCCGCCAACGTTGGCGGGACATGTAATGGAGGTCCTGCTACCCGTCCCACGCCGTCCAGCTCTTTGTGGTGTGGCATAGCCGTAGGCTCTAGGGCCGTCCCCCCTGTGAAAAGGATCTTTCCCCATTCCTCCGGGGATTCGCCACTGCATTGGGAAGGGGGCCTGCTCGCAGCTGATTCACCCCGCGAGGACGGTCTTGAACCGTTCCGTGGCGAATTTCTGCTCGTGCTCGCGAGGTTCGGGGAACCCGCTGAGGCTTTCTGGCACTGCCTGGCCCTGCCGTCTAGTGCCCCTTTCCTGGGGCCACCTCCAGGGTTGCTGACCCCAAGTGTCAGGCCGCCTTGACCCGGGGTGCCCACCCCGGGTACTTTGGAGAGCGCACCCCCGTTCTGCCCTGGCGGGCCTCCGGAAAGGGGTCATCCCCGGGGGTCCAGCGTCAGCACGTGCTCGGCGTCCGGCGTCGTTACATAAAGGCATTCTGTGGGAAGGAAGTGCAGTTAGAAACACATAAATGGACTAAACCCTGCGCTGCAGATTGTAGTGACGGCAGAAACTCCTGTGGGAAGTGAACTCGCCGACAGTGTCATGCACCGTCTGGCCACCGCGCTTCATCTGTGCTCCGGACTGCGCCTGCCGTCCGGTCGAGACGGGGCATTCCCCGTCCTTATCAGCAGCTTCTCCTTCATCGCTGTCCTGATCGCGAAGGTAGTATCCTTTTAAATCGGCCACGTGAACTGGGCCAGACTCCTCGGTTGCGTCCGGCCCACTGAGTCTGCACGTAAGCCGCGACACTCGCGTACTTACCTCGTAGGGCCCATCCCACTTCGAAGCCAGTGATGCTGCAAAACCGCAAGCTGCATTACCCAGTGGGTGCGTTCTCCTCAGAACCAGGTCTCCGACATTGTACTCCAGGTGCCGATGGCTCTTATCATACTTTGCCACCTGTTCGATCCTTGCAGCATCGAGGTTTTCTCTAGCGTGGTGCAACGCGCCCGACAAGAGGCTTTTAAACACGGCTGCGTACGTAGAGAGGGGGCAACCCGATACCCCATTGCTGTTTCTGAACCCGGTCTTAACCAGGTTAAGGAACGCTGGTGTAAACCCTGTTGCTCGGTTCACTCTCGCCCGGCTAGCTCGGTCGGTAGAGCACGAGAATCTTAAATCTCGGTGTCATGGGTTTGGGCTCCACTTTGGGCGCCAGATTATGTGAGTTGCTACCTAATCGACGCCTGATTGGGACGTGCCTCGATCGCTCCCTAAGAAGTCACTCATACGGTGCGTTTTTTAGAACAGTTTACTTGAACTCGCGCGTCTGTGGTGAGCGTCCTGTCATCGGCGTCATCGTTGCACCCACCGTCCGATCCG